TCTTCACATGAATCTTCTCTTTTTTTTGGTCAGTCTAGATAAAAGTGTATTAATTTTATCAGCTTTGTAAAAATCACCCTTTGATCTTGATTTTTCTGGTTTTTCTCTTTCATTTATATTTGTGGTGTGCTTTTGGTTTCCTTCCTACTGTTTGCTTTAGGATGTTTTGTTCTTTTTCGGGTATCTGAAGGTTGCAAATTAGGTTATTGATTGGATATCTTTTTTCTTTAGACATTTACACCTACAAATTTCCTTTCAGTCACTGTTCTAGCTTCACCCTTCAAATTTGCTCTGTTGTTTTGTGTCATTCAGCACACAGCGTTTCCCTTTCAATTAAGTTTTAATTGATTGATAAGTTTTATTTACCCGTATTTGTGTTTCCCATCTTTTTGTTAATGATTTCTAATTTCACTTTGACCTATTTGTGTCCATTACATTAATTGAGATTTATCATAGCTTCGTATATGATCTATACTAAAGAGTGTTTAATTCTTGCTTTGCGTGTTCTGGTCTTGTCAGGAAGTGTGTTCAGTAGATGTCCGCCAGGTTTAGTTAGTGCATAGTGTTGCTCAAGCCTTCTGTTTAGTTAACTTAGGGTTAGTTTTATATCCATTGCTGAAGGCTTCAGTCACTACTGTGGAATTATTTATTCTTATTTATCCTTCATTTTTCTTTTCATTGTTTTCATTTCATGTATTTTGCTGTTCTTATAATATTCATACACATTGTGTTCTGTCTTTCGACACAGGCACATTATAATATATAAAACATTTTGTACATTTGAAATATCATCTGAAATCATTTACTCTCAGTCTAAAAAAGCTTTGTTAAATATTTCTCATAATGTGTGTCTGCTACCAACACAATGTCTTCTTTTGTGTTTGACTGGGAATGTTTTACTTTCTTTCTTCTTCTTTTTTTTTTTTTTTTTTTTGGTCTTTTTCGTTTTTATCGGTACCAGGGATCGAACTCACGACCGCACACTTGCAAGGAAGGCACTTATGCCGCTGAGCTAAATCCCCAGCCCCTTTACTTTCATTTTTGAAAGATAGTTTTGCTGGATATAGAATTTTTGGTTGACAAGTATTCTTTTGTTTTGTTTTAGCATTTTGAATGTTATCCCACCATTTAGGACCGCCACTGTTTTTGTAGCAGTATAATTGGCACATTTTGTTTTGTTTTGTTTAGTTTTGCCTCTTGCTTAGTAGGCAAGCACTGAATTGCTGAACTGCATCTCTAACGAATTGAATCTTCTTGTAAAGTGATAGATTATTTTTCTATTGCTGCTTTCAAGGTGTTTTTTCTTATCTTTAACAGAGAATTTTTACTACAAGCTGATGGATCTCTGTGTTTATTGTGTATGGAGTTTAATGTAGGTTGATATTTTCCTGAATATGTGGGTTGGTATTTTTTAATAAACATAAGAAATTTTAAACTATTATTTCTTCTCATATTTTTGTATGCCTTTCTCCCTCTGGTTTTGGTACTTCCGTATTGGTACACAAAACGCAGTTCCACATTTTTTTGAGTATCTGTTTGTATTTCTTCATTTGTTATCTTTTATTCTTTGGATGTCAGAATCTGTCTTCCTGTTTGCTGAGTCTTCCTTTTCCAGCTCAAATCTTCTGTTAATCTCTTGAAATGAATTTTTGTAATAGTTATTATACTTTTTAATTAAAGAATTTTCATTTGACTAAAATTTCCCTTCATGTCTCCCCTATTTGATTTGGTCTAGCTTTGCTTCTTTGACCATGATTTCTTTTTAGCGTATTTATAATACTTAGTTTGAAAATTTTTTTTTCTCTTGAATTTGATATCTGGTCACATTCACAGATATTTTCTCTTAATTGCTTTTCCCTTGCTCTCACCGTGTGTGGATCACACTGCCCTGTTCTTTTTACCTCTTTATTCATCCATGCATACATTCATGTAGAAATTGGACAGTATATTGTATTAGCTCTGGATATTTGTCCTCTGTCTCCAGCGTTAGTTAGTGTTAATTTTAATTTTTGTTTTATAATTGTCTAGATTACTTTAGTGGAGATGATTTCATCTTCTTTCATGCCACGGTTAAGATTCTGGTGTTCATGGAGCTGAAGGTTTGGGGGTGCCTGTTATGTTAGGGTGAGGATAACTAGACAGGGCTTTTCTTTTTCTTTCCTTTTTTCTTTCACTGATGATGCTGACTTAATTTTAAGCTGATTGCTCTATTGGTTGTAACATTTTCCTTGGGGGGGTGTGTGTGGGAGAGTGGCAATTTGCTTTGCAAACTAACCCAGTGAATTTGAGGCTCCTTTGCAAAAAATAATTGCACAGGCCTCGATGGTTTTGTGTTTTGTCAGTTTCAGCTTCATGCCATATTGTAAATGAAGTCCATTATCTTATGAAGATTGGGAGTGATCTGCTTTAATGGTCTTAATTCTTCCCTAAATCAGAATCTCTGAGAATGAACTCTGGAAGAAGCAGAGGGACAGTGGCATGTTCCTCTCTGAGTGACAGCCTTCCTTTAAAACTTGAGTTCTCAGTGGACTGGATGGACAGTAGCACAGGTCCTTTGCTTGTCTTAATGACATGAAATGATGTGATATGAAATGATCACCTGTTATGAGTCAAGGCAGATGTGAGACCTCATTGTTGTCTGTGGTTTCTGTTCCATTATTGAGAGCTAAGTGGAGAAGAGGGTAACCATATTATGACCTGAGTGTGTACTGCCTCTGCTATAGGTATATGGGAGGAGATTGAGAAATGCTGATGTCCTCTTCCTTTTAGGAAGAAAACCCTTTGCCTGAGTGCTGTTCTTAACTATACCATAATCTCTTGCCAACTCAGGGCTCTTGCAACAGTCAGGTATGGTGCATTTGCATTGCTAATCTGGGAAGGGGAATGAGGGTGATTTTGGTTGGCCACAAACTTCTTATTGAGGTCTTTGGAAATTCTTTTGAACATATATTTTATTTGCTGTCTGCCCTGTGGACAATTTCTAAAGACTTTCAATTTTTTTTTATTGTGATTTCTCTAGTTTTGAAGAGACGAAGAAAGCTCGTTCCATCTGCTGCTTCCCCTCCCCTTCTCCCTTCAAATCCAACTAGGTTAAGTTTTAACTTCCTAAAGGCCATAAAACAAAGGCCTGAGGTACTAGCTCCTGACATCCTGGGTCTTCCCTATCCGGTAGCCCCGTCACAAATTGTGTTAATTGCATCAGATTGTATTAGATTGTACATTCTTCACAGAAATAGCTTCGTTTATATCATAGTAATACCTGTAACTGTAAATGTGTGTCTTCCTTTTCCCCTGGGTAAAAGATTGATATGTTAATCAATGCTCTCTTCTGTAAAGAATTGTAAAATCTTACCCAATTGATATGTTAACCATTGTTGCCCTCTACAAATAAAAAGGTTGTGGTGCTAAAGTAAGGTAATTATGTCAGGAAACTCAGAGATAAAGTCTGCTGACTATGCTAATCAAGATTGGGAAGTATGTCAGAACCAAGCCACACAGGAGCTAGGTGACCTAAAAATAAGCTGTGCAAAACAAGACAGTTAATCAACTCTGACCCACTGGTCGCCCCTCATGATCTGACCAATCACAAATGGACAAATCACCAACTGTTCTGCTCTAACTGCTATGATTGGCTTCTGTAACAATGCTTGCTTGCTTTGCGGTTTTCATCCTTAAAAACACCAGCCTTGCCCCAACTCAGGGTTCTCCGTTTCCACCTGTTTGGAGGACCCCGTGTACACGGAATAATAAAAACCCCATTGTTTTTACATGAGAGCGAGGCCCTTGGAGTCTTCCTCGCGACACCGGTCTAACAGTTTCATTGGGGAAAATTGTGCAGGATCGTATGTTGGAAGTCACTCTCTTATAATTATCTTTTACGTGTTACTGTATTATAATGGGACATTATTTTTTGGATTCAAAAGAGTGTCAATTTTAAAATTCTAATTAACTGTGTAACTGGGCCATTTGTATAAATTTCTAAAGCTTAATTGTTATAACTCCAAAAGTAGTAATGGTACTTTAACTTGAAAGGATTGTTAGGAGGATTTATTAGATAGATTTATTAGATATGATAAGCACTTTATCATAGTACCTGGCATATAATAAATTATATAAAAGCTGTAGATATACTTAGAATTGACAGGATAGCATCACTTTCTTTTGTTTTCTTTTTATATACATACCAGTAAAATGAACATCAGAAAGAAAATACTTATTGTACATACAATATCACGTATATATTCAACATAAATTTTACTCAGTGATTTTAATTGTGTGGTTTCTTTGGTAATAAAATTTAGTAATATAACATCCTCACATTCAAAATTAGAGTCTAACCATTCTGAACCATGTATTTTCAGATCATACTTGAGGAAATACAACGCTTTTAAGATTAATGATATTATGTGGTTATGTAATTTAAGGCAGAGTCTGTATTCTAATTTTCGGTTGTGAGAATCTGAAATCAATTTCATCTTTAACCACTGCATAGAAATGTACAATATGATGAAAAATTTTAAATAAAGTTATGAAGAGGATTTGTAGCATTGTGTTTCAGGTGCCCGATAATTATTTTAAAATACTTGTAAAATTTTCACATATAATCTTGATTCACTAAAACATTTTAATGGTTCTTTAAAATGACAACTGTTACATAGAAAGTTATAAGAGAAATACTGTTTGGGACTCTTAGAAAGTCAGAATACTATGTTGAAAAGCCAATTAAATAAACTTATAATTTCATTTGGTTGTAACAAGAGAAATTAAGTGTGAGCATTTATTACTCTGTTAAGAGTAATGTATTTAAACCATAATTATTTTTAAAAAATCGACTCATAGTCTTTAGTTGTGCAAATGTAAACCTTTGTCAATGTTAAGATTTAATTTTTTTCTGTTATTAAACTTTTTAAATTTTATTCCTTTGTTTAATAGGATATGAATAATTTGAAAAGTTAATTTTGAGCTAAGTGGCTTTTTTATTTGTTTTCCTTTTTTATTAGTTATTTGAATTGCTTGGACCTGAAGGACTCGATCTTATTGAAAAGCTTCTCCAGAATAGAATAACAATTGTGGATAGATTCCTTAATTCTTCAAATGAACATAAATTTCAGACTATCCAAGGTAAGCGTCTATGCAGTGGTAATGCTAACTTAAAAAATTGATTGGTTAACACTTCTTTTTAATATAATTATATTTTTATGTCCTTTGACCTATTATATAATTTGCGAATCTCATACGATTAAGTAGGTTTTAGGTATGACAGATTATGAAAAAAATTAAAAGGTACAAATATGGTGTGACAGTGTTTTATAGGATACTTTTGGTAAAATGTAAAATCACTTGTAATAGACAATATTTTTTAAAGCAAACACATATAGGATTTACAGTGGGCCATGTGGTATTGTAACTTTGCCTCAACTTTGAAACTGGCAGGTGTAAGAATAATTCATTAAACACTTGCATACTTTCACCAGTCATTAATACTTTGCTTCCACTGTTCCTTTTTCCAAACACATGTGTGCACATGCACACACACAGGCACACACACACATACACTCTGCTTTAAAATTTTGGCTGAACAGTGACTGAAAGTTGCGGACATACTGCTATTTCATTTACAAAATTTTTGGCATAATGTGAGAACAGTGACAGTTTTGTTTAAGTGATTCAGTCATCATGCTCAGCAAATTGAACACCTGTAGTATCACATAATATACAGTTTGTAAAATTTCAAGGAAATTACAGATTTGGCTGGAAAGTCATAGGCATAAAAAATTTCCTGATGAGATGGCACACTCAGGTTTTAAGTGATAAACATGAAAATGAAAGTTTTTACCTTTACCCAAATGTATTTGCCCACTGTACAAACAGTTTGGAATGTTTAAAGCATAAGAAATATAGCTTCAACATCTTCGTTGACTTTTAAGTAAGTTACATAATGATTATGGCACTAAAAGATGTTAAAAACTGGGCCGGGGATTTTGCTTAGTGGTATAAGCATCTGCCTGGCAAATGCAAAGCCGTGATTTCAATCCCCAGTACCAAGAAATAAAAATAAAATAAAAAACTGCCTTGATTTTAAATCTAGAATTTCTCCAGTACTAATAGGATGTTCTCAGAAGCTTAGAGTTGTTTTGGATTTGTTAGAAATTTAAAAGACTGAACTTAGTTTTTCTTCCTGCAAGTCTCTTACTGCAAGAGGGAATCCCGCAGTACCCAAAGGGTGGGACAATACCTAGTGAGACACATTGCAGTAAGCCATTATGGGTTTGAAAACATTAAAAATAGTTAGTTATCTGTGAATGGAAAAAGAATGGTAGATATCCAGTCCTGTGATGTAAGTTCTGAGAATTTGTTATTTTTCTTTTGTTAGTCTCCTAAATGTTATGGTAGAGATGTTTACTGATTGTAATGTTCACTAATAACTTTTAACATAAAGGTGGGTCCAGCTTTACAAGTTGAAATTGAGAACTTTAAATGATGAGCTGGTAGTTTATTTCTTTTTATTTTTTGAGGTAGTTTCATTATGCTCATTACTTCTTGTTATGTCTGTTTCACAGATTTTCCTGTATTAAGATAGCTTTTTAGAAAAACACACTATTTAGCTCAAAATAAATACTTAAAAGTAAATACTTAATTTCAAGTTTTAAAAAATATTTTTGAGCCAACAGTCTTGCTGGAGATATTTTCTACACTTCTCACACTACATACACTCTTTTATTCCATATGGATCATTATTAACGTTGCTGTTATTTAAGAATGATAATTATATTGTTGAAAATTTGTGCCATATAAAGTTAACACTTCTAAGGGCTGTAATAAAAAATTTAACAACAGTATTTTTGAAAGTTTTTTGGCTAGGTGGAGTGGTGTTTGTCTGTAATCCCAGTTTAACCTCTGGAGAATTTCAAGTTTTAGCTCACTCTGAATAAATTAGCACTGTAGAGAGTCCATGCCTTAAAAAAAAAAAAAAAGGTCTCACTTGCTTAAGCCCCAGTCCTGTACAGAAAAGAAGTTTTTGTATATGCATGAAAAATTATTCTTAATTTTTTGATAAAGAAATATTCTTAGAAGAATCTGTAGATTTTTGTTCACCGTTTTTACCTACTTGTATATTTCTATGTAACTTTTTTGTGTAATGATCTTCAGAATTCTATTACAATTAATAAATTTTACTCTTTATAAATGTACCTTAGAAAATTATTAACAATGTCCCATCCTTATTATCAGATTCATTATCTTAGATGACAGTGCATTCTGGTCACGTAGTATTTGCTAGCTCTTTTGCTGATTTTGAGTCTTCATATATTTAAATATTCCTTGTCTTTTGTCTTTACTCTTAAAACCAGGAAATGTAAATTGAGTGAGAAGCCACAGGATACAGTAACTGGTCTCTTGAATTGAGGATAGTTACACAGTAAATTCTGCCTTCAGCAGGGCTGGGATGGACAATGTTTTATTATAAAATCAAACTTTAGTTAAGTGTGTCAGTTTGTCAGTATTATGAATGATATAAAATTTTTGTCATAGTTACATTCTAAAAGGATAGAGTCCTATATTATTTTTCAGTAAAGTTAAGGTTATTTCTGCTTGTCATTCTCTACAATTAGCTTAACACAACAAGAACCATAAATTTAGGTGTTTATGTTTCATCTTGCAGGATTCTAGTTTATTTTTTTATCTATTTGCTTACTTTTTGAGACAAGGTCTTGCTATGCAATTCAGGCTGGCCTTGAGCTCACTTTGTAGCCCAGGCTGGTCTTGAACTTTTGAGGATCTTCCTACTTTGGCCTCCTGAGTGCTGGGATTCCAAGTGTGTACCAGCACACCTTAGTATACTTTATTTTTTTTTAAAAACAGAAAAATAGCAATAGATAATTTAAAATAGTAACAATAATTAATACATTATATATTGTTATAGTCATAGTTCATGAAATATTGTCCAAAAAAGTATTAGCACATAACTTTCTTTTCAGTGATCTGAGAGAAACCAGCTCTATAACTATCCTGTGCATATATATATATTTTTTTCCCTTTCTTCTTTTCCCCTTTCTCCCACCACCGTTTGTCTTTTCTTTCGAACAGTTTCTTCCCAATTCACAATGTGTATTGCACATTTTGAATCTTACTTACTTTTTTAGTTTTTCATGCCAATGGTATATTCTAATTGAGACTTTACAAATCTTTCAGTGAGATAGATATATGTTCTTGTAACTTTAATTTCCATATTAGGATGATCACATGTGTGTATAAAACTGTCATCACATTTGCTTAAAGTGTTAATGATAGTAGTACATATTATATAATATGTCCTCTAAAGTATTTACAGTTTCACACTTCAAAATGTTTAATACCCACTTCTGGTAATAATGGTATTATTCACATTTTTAAATATTCTGCTTATCTGTAGCTGATTGTGTGAGGTGAAGACAATTGTAACTTTTTATTCAGAGTACATTTGAAAACTGTGAGACTATTGCCTTCTGTTTCTGTCATTTAAAATTAATCATAAATTCAGTTATTGTAATGCCAGTGTAGGACTTTCTCAGAAAGTCTTATAAGACTTAAGCTAGAACATACTTTTTTAAGAACTATTTTAATAGTTATATGATGGAGAGTTAAATGACTTACTTAGAATCATATAAAAAGGTAGTGACAAATATCTGAAAATTGTGAGATTTGAACAAGAATGACTTAGAAAGCTCATTTTTTTTCTCCTGGTATTGATTCCTTCTATGTTGTGTATTAGAGCATATAATTTTATTATATAACTTGATCTTTGCTCTGCCAAATATGGACCAAGTCTCATTCTTTTTCTCCAGACCTAGTGACAGTGCCTGGGATGTAGTAGATCCTTAATATATTAAATGCTTTGTGATTTGGATTGTTTTAATGACATTCTTTACAGATCTTTGGGGCTTTAGTAAACTAAGATACTAAGATAAGTTTAAAAAAAAGAAGGTAATCCTGTTAGAAGAAAATTTATACTGAATTTTGAGTTCACCAAACCATACACATACTTCCACTTTGCAAAATTCCCCTTAGTAATCCTCTCTCCCTTTTTCAAAAACCTCCCTTATTCCTTTCTTCCTTTCTTTGGCTTTATTACAGTTCTAGGGGTTGAACCCAGGGTGTTTACACTGAGCTACACAGCCCATTCCTTTTTTATTTTAATTTTGAAACAGGGTTCCACTAAATTGCTAAGTTGCCCAAGTTGGGCTTGAATTTTTGATCCTCCTGTTTTAACTTACCAGAGTGCTAGGTTTACAGGCATGCACCACTGTTCTTGGTTGATTCTTTTTCTTACCTTTCCTTTTTTTTAAACTGTGTATCCATGAAAAAATATACCATGTTCTTGTTTTGTTTGCTTTGGACACTATTTATAAATATCTCTTGAACTAATGCTAAAAAAATGTATTTCACTATGAATAAATCTTAACATATTTTCATTTTAACAGATTAAGGCCTGTCACATAGGAAAAGCTTATCTAATCTGTAAAGATTTTTATTTTATCATTACAGTGATGGCAATTATAATTAATACTGCTAATTATATTTTTGAAATTACATAAATGGTTTAAAATTATAAAACTTTGTAATTTTATGTCACTGATGTTATATGTAAGAATTTATATTAGTAACATTAAACTGTTGAATTTCTAGGAAAATATCGCTGGCTTTTCTCAAGTTACTAGGTAGTATCATTTAAACATTATTGAACATACTGACTTTAAAAAGTGAATTGTTTGAGGTTTGTGCTATTTTGTTTTTTAGTAGAGAAAAAAATAGTTTACATATAGGTGAAGTCATGTCACGCTTACAGTTTGTTATATTTTAAAATTTGCTTCATAGACAATTCCAAAAAAATTTTGGGAGAGAATGCTAAACCTAATTACGGTTGTCAAGTCACTATTCAGTCTGAACAAGAAAAGCAGTTACTGAAACAGTGTCGCCGTGAAGAAAAAAAAATTGCTAGACGAGAAAAAAAGGCTGGAGAAGATGGAGAAGTTTCTGGAGAAGGTATTACATGTTTTGATCCTAAGGAACTGAGGATACACAGGTAATAAAAACCAGAATCTGAAAAATACATGTTGTAATTGCTACTTTTGCGTATCATTATCATTGTTTTTGGCTTTCACAATGTGATTCTTACACTGTACTCTCGTTTTCTTGCAAGAAGAGAATTTTGTTGTATAAAAATCTTTTTTCAGGATAACAAAAAGCAATCCTCTGCTTAACTAAGATATTCTTTCTTGTATCCTCAAGAAAATTATAGATTAAAATTTTAGAATAAGCTATTTTTTATTATGGTCTGTTTGTAGTATATAATGTTTACATTCCTTGTTGGGGAATCAGTACATGTACAGAACATGTCAAGAAGTAAGCTATTAAGGAGCAATATACTGACAAGTTATATGAAGCCTGCATAAATTTATTTTTATACTGTTGTTCTTTCCTAGCTGAATAATATTTTTTATCTATTATTGTTATTATTTAGAAGTAGAAAGGATGAACATGGAATAAAGATACTGTACGTGATTCTTTAAATATTGAAGCAGTTTTAAAAATGAATTTATATAACTTGTTAAACATCTTTGGATTATGAGAAAACAAAATTAGAAAGAACATTAAAGCAAACTTTTGGATTGGTGTTATCTAAAAAATGTGCTGAATTCAATTTTCTGACAAAAACTTTATGGTTTGCTAATATTTTTATATAGCTAAATTACTTCTCTTTAAAATGGATAACTACCTGAAATAATAACCTCATTTTAGCATATGTTTTCCTTTTCAAAATAAAAATGATAAATTTGGTCTATTGTTTGTGTATTTACAGAGAGCAAGCACTTTTGAATGCTAGAAGTATTCCAATTTTAAGCAGGCAGAGAGACACAGACATTGAGAAAATACGTTATCCCCATGTTTATGATTCTCAGGCCGAAGCCAGGAAGACATCAGCATTCATTGCAGGTGCAAAGGTATAACACTGGTGTATAACTGCCTGTACTGTCTCTATTCTAAGGAAGTGCCATATGATTTTTCTTGTTTATTTTGTGTGTATAGTACTAGTTTACTCGACTATGTTAAATTTTATTGAAAAGTATTAGGGAAATGAGATATTGCAGTGTAAAAATCCTAAAACATAGTCGGTATGTAATTTGTATTTTTAATTAAATCTACATAGTGCGCATTTTCCTAGTTATGTGTGTACATTTGTCTTCAGGAATATCTTATAATTAATGTATAGTTTAAGATGTAACAACTTGGGGCTGGGGATTTAGCTCAGTGGCATAAGCGCCTGCCTTGCAAGGAGGCAGTTGTGAGTTCGATCCCTGGTACCGATAAAAAGGACAAAGACCAAAAAAAAAAAAGATGTAACAACTTGCTGTGCCTGAGAAATCTGATAGACAAATGTTTTATGTGTGTTTATATGCATTTATTTTTGTTTTTTTCAGATTTATTTTTATTTAAATTAGCTAAATGTATTTGTCAGTGCTGTCAAAAATGCCAATAGCATTGTTGGACTCTTTACTTGAAAAACCTTTAACAGAACAGTTGTATGATTAACCTTATTATTGAATTATGATTTTTGATGTTTATAGATGATTTTACCAGAAGGAATCCAAAGAGAGAATAACAAGCTTTATGAAGAAGTCAAGATTCCCTATAGTGAACCAATGCCAATCGGCTTTGAGGAAAAGCCAGTTTACATAGAAGATTTAGATGAGGTGAGATGAGCCTTTCTACCTTTTATACTTTTGAGGGTTGAATATGTTATAGGTAGATTTGTGTTAGAAAAAATAGATTTTAAAATTAAATGGTTAATACAGTACAGAAACCTACTTGGTTATTAAAGAGGTATACTATGGGAGTTTTAAGAGTATACACATGTATTCCTTGATACATTAAATATATTTATATCTTATATTTTCCTGTTTATGTACATTTATACTTATATATTTCTTTTAATCATATTTTGTTTCATTTCATACCTTTATTCTAAATCAATTTCTAGGGAGTAGTTCAGATACAAATATCTTGAAGATTAATTTGAAGCTCTATAGATAATTGTGAAAGACAGCTTTTTTTCCAACTGAGGTTACCAGTTCATTTCTGAGTCATTTCCATTTCCTTTGTGGGGGGGTATTGGAGTTCTTACAGTCATGGTGCATATTCTTATCATCAGCTCTCATGACCATCAGGAGTCAAAGTGGAGTTGTTTCCTGAAGCAAAAGATGTTATTACTATTATTACCCATAAAATAAAGATGAGAAATATTCTAAGAAGATGGAGCTATGTTTTTGAAATTACTTTTTTGTTCCTGTTAAGTATGTTTTATATTTGTGCATTTGAGAGTTACAGTTTTTAAAATAGTTAATAAAATATCATACAGCAAAAATGTACTACTGATCCCAATGTAATATTTGGTTTGGAAGTATAAAAGGTGCCTAAAATATTTCATTAGAATGGAGATGAGAATATTGAGGGCATAGGATTTGCCAGATAGATATACCAGATGAAGAGTCATGCATGCTTAGGCTATATGTGAAAAATGACAGCAAATGAATCAATAAAGAGAGTTAATAGTTTGCCAAGATGGATTTGCAAAACTGTACCTTTAGTTACACAGGTCAGACGATAGCAGGCTTGACTAACCTTTCTGTTGGGGCTGTCATGAAAGTGAAGTCCTGGTGTTGGCCAGACTGAGCTGTTATCCCGAAGCTCTGGGATTGAATTTCCTTCTAAACTCAGGAACACTTGTTTTCTAAATCTAATTTTGTTGTATGTCTATGACTGAAATATCTCTCTCCTTTCTGTCAGTTGTAGGTCAGTTCCTAATGTCTGCCCACTTTTCCTAGCAAGTAGCCCCTCTATTTAAAAGTCTAGTGAGGAAATATCAAGTCTGCTTTAAATAGCTGACTTTTGCTGCTGGCTGCTGAAAAACTCTAATTTTAAAAATTCATGAAATTAGATCAGACCAACAAGATCATCTTCCTAAATACAGGACCAGGCAATAAAATCTATCACCTTCTCAGTCCTCAGTTTAGGCACGATGCATATCGTAGGTCGATGTCACTTTCCACTTGCCTTTCTCTGTGGTTTTTATGCTTGGCATTCAGCATTTTGAACCTGTGAGTTTACTATTCTCAATATCAAATAGGGGAGGTTTTCAGTGATTATTTTTTCAATACTTTTCTGCGCCATTCCATTTTCCAGAAACTTGAGTCATATATATTTTGGGTCTGATGACATTGACACACAGCTCATAGATGTTATATTAAATTGTTTTTCATCATTTTCTTCATCATGCTTCATTTTGGAGATTCCTGTTGACTTACTTTGTATTTACTAATCTTTTTTTATCCTGTAGTGTCTAAATGATTGCTGTTAATCCCATCCATTGTACTTTTCTCCCAGGCATTGAAATTTTGTCTCTAGAAGTTTGATTTGTGTCTTTGTAATATCTTACAGATTTCTACATACTGTTGCAATCATTTCAATAGCCCATGGGCATTTGTCCTGATTTTTAGCATGCTTGATAATTTTTTGATTGATAGATATGATTTTTAACCTGTTGAATGCTAGATTTTTTTAAATGTCTTTAACAGTTTTTTCTTGGAAAGTTTTCTTTGGATCGGTTTAATCATTTTAGGTCTTGCTTTTTAAAATTTCATAGATGGATCAAATCTGCAGCATTTAGTCTAAATTTACCCATTCCTTAGTGGTGAAGGATGGGACAGAATTGACTAGGTGGGAACCATTGTTGTAAGTAAACAATAGGAAAAGGATCATTTTATTTAAAATCCTAAGACATCTTGTTTCAGTAGTATATTGCTGTGAGAACAACGCTTTCCTTTTTTTGATAATAACTTGTCTAGGAATGCAGTTATCATTTGGGGGCTATTAATTTGCTGGAATTCTCAATTTCCAGAGTTATGTGTCGGTTTTGGTTCAAAAAGATAAATGAAATCAATAGATAAGCAGTGAAAATTCCTTTAAAATTTAAAGATTTGGGGGGTGGTTTAATGGAGTAACAATTTCCTGCTTTAGCAGGTCATGCTACTTCATTCCTTTAGAGCTGAGTTTCCCAATATAGGGGATATATTTTAATTGTAAAAACAATTTAAATATTTTAAGTCCTCTATGTTTTCATTTTTTGCATAATTATTCCTGTCATTACTACATTTCCGTCTCACATCTAGTTATGGGCCGTAACTTATTAACAAATTGCTTTTCTTCCCCTGCAAATAACTGTTAAATCTAGCTTCTATTTAAATATTTATTTCCATTGTTTCACAGGTTTTTCATCCCCAGCACTGATTATTAATTATTCTTTCTTATATACTATTTTTTTTTTTTGGTCTTTTTCATTTTTTATCGGTACCAGGGATTGAACTCACAACTGCCTGCTTGCAAGTCAGGCGCTTATGCTACTGAGCTAAATCCCCAGCCCCTTATATACTATTTTTGATAATACCAGCATGAACTACATTAGAATGTAGAGTTCCTGAATGAACATTAAATGAACATTCCTGTACCTTTTGATAATGCACATTCTCAAATAAGTGTGTTTCTATATAATAGTATAATAGTCAAATTAAGACAGATAAGGGATTTATATTTAATGTCATACATTTAGGGAAATTCCTTTAAATCATTTCCTGTAACTCTGAGAATGCAACTTGTCTTAGAGGTTATTTGGTCTATGTAAAACTTGTTTTCAAGTTCTAATTTTTTTTCCTGGAAAAATAAATTTGATTCTGAATTTGATGTAGGAGTTTTGAAATGTTAGTCAAATGGTAGTGAACCTATGGCACTCATGCCACAGTGGGCTGCTTGTGTCCTTGAAAGCTCTGAAAGTTCCACATTACTTTGCTAGTGTGACATTGTTGATGTTACATGTTACTTAAACTCTATACTGTCCAATCTATTAGTGTGTATAAAATGCTTGACTCAGATTGTCTTCTACAGTACTGTTTTTCATTTTGAACTGCGTGAAACTACATGTATGATAGATTTGTAAATTTATTAACAGTGTATTTATTCAATTAATACTAATAGCAAGTGGAATACAATTTCAGTTAATTCATAAGACTTTTGAGTAGTTAGGTGATAATAGGACACTATATTTCTTTAATGTTAGGACCTATGAATTGATTGATTAGGATCATAGTAAAATATGCCCCCCTCCAGAAACTTGAATATGTATTTCAGAAGAGGAAGCTAAATAGACTTTTGTTTCAAAAGCTGTGAAAATTAATACTTTGGAACTAAAGGTTTTAAGTTAAGAGTTCTTTAGTGAGTCAGGGAATTAGGGTTCTAGGAAAATTATATTTTAAAACATAGGTTTGGACTTTTAGAAATTTAGAGAATAAATGAGTGTGTTTCTGTATATAACTTCCATTTTTATTATCTGTGGATTTTGCATTAATTAATGCACTATGTATCTAAAATAGGCTCTGTCCCACAGGTATAAGTCATTTGCACTGTTTTTGAGTATCATATTTTGATACATATTTAAAACATGGAGTTTTTCCTTTTTCTTGCATTGAATAGACATAAAATATTACAAAGTAAGATTTTTCAGTGTTTTATATTTTTGTTGTTTGCTTCCTAACTTTGATACTATGACATACATTCAAGATTTTTCTTAGTTTTATTTTTAAACTGGTTTTGTTATTAACTTGTACTAAACAATTATTTGAATTTATCTTTATATATTGCCAGTTAATTTAAAACTCCCCACCTTTCACTCCCACCTTTCCCCCTCTTCCCTCCCTCCCTAAAACTGGATATTGAACACAGGGCCTTTGCACTGAGTTGCATTCCCAGGTCTTCCCTGCCTACCACCTTTTTGAGGCAGGATCCCTGTAAATCGCTAAGTTGACTAGGCAGGGCTCAAACTTGCAATTGTTTATTTCAGCCTACCTGAGCTCTGTTATCACAGGAATGTGCCCCTATCCTCAGCTCTTTATCACTTATGTTTCCCAAATTTTCATTATGGGAATATGGTAGTTGCAAAAAATTTCTTAAGTTTTGTTGAATTAAATTGCCTTTATTTTACTATTATTTTTAAAAGCAGTCAGTATAATTTTAGGTAGATAGTTATTTTCTCATCACATTTAACATATTATCCTACCACTGTCTGCTTTTCATTTTTATTTTTGAGAAATTTGCAGTCAAGCCAGGTGTGGTGGCTCATGCCTGTAATCCCAGCATTCGGGAGGCTGAAGCACTAGGGCCATTGTGAGTTCGAAACCAACCTGGGCTACAAAGTGAGCTCAAGGCCAGCCTGAACTGCATAGAGAGACCCTGTCTCCAAAAAAAAAAAAAATTTGCAATCTAATTGTGATTTGTTTTAAGGTTACCTTTCTCTGTGGCTGTTCTTAAGCTATTCTTTAGCCCATGGAACTTTACAGCATTACCACAGAATTTTTTTTGAGATAACTTTCTTTTAACTTATTTTCTCATTCTACTGGAGTCCTCGCATCAATACGTAAAGGAAGTAAGAAAGAAAGAAAAAAGAATTTTACAGTTTTGATGGGCTTATACTTCGGCAAACAACATAAAAGAAAAAAACATCAAAAAGAGATACAGTATGCTTCCATTGCCTTCCCTGAGCTTGCAGCCTTATTAGGGACATAAGAGGCATCTGTGGTACTAACCAACTGTGTACTATAGAATTCATTCAGTAAAAAATCAGTCATTCTCATATTCAGTGTATTGA